AGATGTGTATAAGAGACAAGCCATTTATCGCATCACAACCAAAAAAGAACTTACTGGAGGTATGACATTGGCAACAAAGGAACTCTCGACAAATAACTTTATATGGATACACTTGAATTTTGCGGCAGACAATTTTAGACAATGTTGCGTGAAAATACTGTTGTGAATAGTAGTGACTATATATCTGAGGCTTCGAAAACATGCACATCGAAATAATCCTCAATAGTTTTGCTGGGGTGCTTACTTATGACTTGGCAGACCTATCAAGTTTTCAGTGTTTTATCTAAGAAGATTGATGCAGAGAACATTTGTGGAGAATGTTTCCAGCATTTTGTAATGAAGTTGGTGTTTGTATCATGTTTCTCTTCGGCACCAAAACTGGATCATAATCTGTCATTTTTCCAAGTATTAACATTTTCCATAAATAAACTCTACCCTGTACACATGATATACAGTGTTCCAGGCAATGGGTATGAAATGTTTCGTTTTAGCAAGAGTTACTCTGGAACTGTGGTTTTGGGTAGATAGTTGAACACATTTCAAAACTAAGGAATGCTATGTAATTGTCATTAAGCATACTGTAGAAATAGAGTTTTTCTTATCCGGCAGAGGTTAACTAATGTGGTTATTTGTAGATGATACCCATCTGACGGGCACAATTGTCCTTCCACTGTACCTGTTATGCTATAGGAATCTTTAGTCAGAATCACATTTTTGTTGTTTTGTGGATTTAATATGTTTTTATTATCAAGGTTTTTTTTGCTGCATGGGACGGGATATAAATGGAAGGATACGCATATGGGAGAGATAATGCAGACTTCTTACACATTAGAGCAATAGGTTTAATAATATAAAAATGTTAATATAATTTTAAAAACAGAGTGTAATGAAGAATATAGTATATTACATATATTATACTGTATAATGCTTGGTAGATAGTATATGATGTTGGAATACCTGCTAATGTCTTAATTAACCACTACAGAGACTAGTTTCAATTGCATGCTATCACTGTGTTGAGGGGGTTGTGAGAGGGAGGGTGGTGTTGGTTGTAATTTACTGGGGAAATATTTTAATCCCTAGGTGAAAAAACCCACAGAATATTAAGTTGACAACACTTTATCCACTAAATTCATTTTTTGGTGGGGAGGGGTTGTGTTCCTTTGGGTCAAATACTCTCCCTTAGTGGTGTAGTGATGGGGCCCTGCGGTGAGTACGTCCATTTCTCGTGTCAGCCTTGTGTAAATGAATTTTAGCATGTTTTAACTCGAGAGTGAATCATAAATAATATATTGATCAAAATATGTTTATTTTTCAATTTCTTACAAGTATAATTTTTCACTTTTTGTTTGTACTGATTATGATTTTTAGACAGTTTAATATCAGACTGTATTCAATCATTAATTAAACTACCGATTTTTACATAGCCTCAATGTACTCATCATGTACTTTAACTACCATTACGTATTAGAATATTTGTTAATTTACAATTGTTTATCAACCAAGACAAAGACAGCTCTTTAGATCTGTGAAATTATCATGAGACATGTTATTATGCTCGTTGGACAATTCAGAACAACTGTACAAATATAATATACAGAGAGATCAAATATGGTGTTTAGTAGTGTGGCCTTTTGACTTGGACTAAAAGTCCATTCACACTGTCAACTTTTATGTGTCCAATACATGTGATATGTTATCAGCATGCCCATATATGGGTGAGATACATGATGTCATTATGCCCATAGTATATGGGTAAGATATAGTATCATTATGTCCTTAGTATATGGTATAATATGTGGGTAAATTACATATATCTATCACATATGAAAATAACTTCATAATGTGAACAGAGATTTAGCTTACAGTAATTTACAGAATTGTCTAATTTTGCTGTTCCATACTTGTTGCTGATTTAATTATTTTTCAATACTGTGGTTTTTGTTCCCAACATACTGTATATTAATTGTATATTAAGTCTATTGTTTTTATCTTACAACATTTACAGTTCAGACTAACGAATTTTATTTGACAAAAACGTGTGACATGCCTAAATATGGTCATGATGACATCACATCATGACCATATATGGGCACATCATTACTATATATGGGCATACAACAGTTTTTTGTCACAAAAAATTGTTAATCTGGACAGAGCTTTAAGCATAATCAAAGCAATATGTTTACACACCTTTTATAAAAAAAAAAAATAATAATTGAATATGTGACTAAAAATATATTTAGTATTTATTCGGATTTATTCCTTACACAAATGTTAAAAACAATTTAGGTTAAGTTTATGCAAAAATTCTGAAATGTAGTAACACGTTGGACTGCCATCTTTGAATATATTTGTATTATACCATAACAGTTAGGGCGCCATTACTATTATACCTGTACCGGTATAAAAAAGAAGTGAGGCTTCAGTGAGATGCTCATATAATAGAATTGCTTTTTAAAAGCTTTTCATTTATTACAAATTATTGTTTTTGAAATCTGCATCTTTTTAAAAGATAACCATGTGTTGTGTACATTAGGAATATCTGACTTGTTAAAGTGTTTTATTTAGTCCATGAGAAATAGGTTTTACGTGATAGGAGGTATGTACTCTAACTGCTACAGTGCTCATTCAAAATCCCACATTGTTTATTCAAGAGCAGCACTTATTCAAGAAAGGCGTGTCTCTTTACAATCATGTTAAATATGTTGCTGTCTTAGTTAACACAACAAATAATATTAGCAATGCAGAAAGGAGGAAATTCATTTTATTGTACATTGTTCAAATTGTCCTATGAAGTAACTTGCACAGTGTCAAGGATTTCTCGCCCCTTTTCCCCACAAATTTGACTCCTTTCTATATCCATAGTGAATGCAGTCTCCAAGGCAGGAAGTTGTGTCCCCTGGTCCAAGTTGATTAGGGGTTTTGGACTCCTTAAGGGAATTTTTCCTGGAATTCACTATATACATTACAGAGGGAGTGCCAAATATACTGGAAGGTCGAAATTTCTGACAGATGGGAGAGAATTATATTTGTTCACTGTGGCAGTCAACCTGTTACTACTGTATATGTATTCTATAAACTTATTGCTGTCATTTCATTGTTTGGTGATGTAGAACGTTGCAATTTGTACATTGCCAAATATAGGTCTCTTGAATATAAATTGCATTGTTGTCTTGTTCTAGTGTTTGTGTATGCAAGGTGTCTTAATTAAAATATGAGTATGAAATGGCGCTTGTATGGTTGTATTCATTTAGAATTTGTTGCAATATTTATAAAAAATATTCTGGTCGTTTTAATTTATCATGATCATCAATCAACATACAATATTCTTGAAGTCAATCAATCAATCAATCAAATCAATCAGTCATTCAGTATAACCAAATAACTAGCCAACCAATAAATATTTAAATCAGTGAAATCAATTAACTGATCAATCAACCAATCATTACATTAATTAATCAATTTATAATGCATGCATGTTTTATTGTATTTGCATATTTAATTAATTGAATA